ACTTTTGTATGGTTATAAATATTTGATTAGTTATAGATTTTAGATTAGTTATAGATTTTTGATTAGCTCATTTTAAATACTTAATAGTCTTACTTACAGTTGTTGCTCACTTTCTTGAAGTTTATTTTTCTAAAATATCATTTTACCAAGTCATAATACCAACAATCTATTTTACTCATAAACAGAAATAGGTTTGTGCCATTTTACTAAATATCAATTAATTGACAATTTATTTTATTAACAACCAGTAGTTATTTCATTGACAAGTAATTCTGGCTATTGTTGCTATTAGTGAAATAATTGTTAGTAAGAGAAACTTATTAGTTATTTGATTTTTTGGAAAATAATACAGACTTTTTTATATATTGCTTGTAAAATAAATTTTTAGTATTACAACTTTAGTAAACTAGTATTTCAGAAAAATAGATTTCAAAAAGTTAAATCAGAACTCTTACTTATATATATACAAATTAATACAAATATAGTAATTTCTAAAGCAGAGAGAGAAACTTAAATTCAAAAAAAATGCAAAAAAAAATTCTGTATAGATTTTATATATAGGATAGGGCAAAGATATAATTTGGATATAGACTGAAAAATATAAAAAATAAATATAAAGCAGTAATTTTAATTACTATCCTGATTGCTAATTTTCTGGCTCTTTTTTTGAATATATACTAATTTGTTTTTTTAAACTTTCTCTAGATCTGTTTTTAGAATTTGTCTTTACAATAAGCATCATTGTTTTTTAATTTAATTTTTTTTTATTACCAGTACTAACTTCTCTCTTTTTTTAAATATGCTTTTTTATTTGAAAGTGGTGGCTAAATACAAAATGGAGTTATGGCAAACCTTTCAAGATAAATTCTAGCATTATTATTTGTATTTGTTTTAACTCTGTTTCTAACTTCTCTACTTCTTTAGATATATTTGAAAGTAGCTGTTTAACAAGCTTTTAAAATAAGTAGTAGTATATAATTGTTTTGTCTTTATTTTTTCTTTTTAATTACCATACTAACTTCTCTCTTCTTTAGATAGATTTGAAAATGATGATTAGATACAAAATAGACCAGAAATAATCTTTAAGTATCAATATTTTTTCTTTTAATTTTTTTTTATTTCTCTTATTGTACTAATTTTTTCTTTTCTTAGATATGTTTGAAAGGCAAAATAGCTAAGCTAGACACAAATTGAGGCTGAGTTGATCTTTGGTATATACAGTTTTGTTTTCTTTTTGTTTGAAAATACTGACTAGGTCAAATAGTACAAAAACTAATTTTTGGATAAATGATTGTTTTTTTTTTCTTTTACTAGTCTTTGTTTTACTTACCTAACTAACTTTTTTTCTAGATTTTTTGTTTAAAATTAACAATTGGATAGAATTAGAACTGGTCTTTAGATAAGTATTTAGGTTTTTTGTTTTACTTATAGTTGCCAGATCTGATTTTTTTTTAGACAATTTTTTCATTTGTAATCAGCAACTTAATGTAAATGTAGCATTGAACTAAACTGGTTTTGAAGATAAGTATTAGTTTTTTAGTCAGTTTATTAACTATTGAAATTAAATTTTTTTTTTTATTTAGGGTTTATTTGTTTGAAATTGATAAATAAGAAGTTCAAACTGAAAAACAGTTTTAAAAATATTTTGGCTTTTTTTTTTAAACATAATGTAAAATCATTTTTTATTTTATAGGTTTTTATAGTATAATGAAGAGTTCACATCATCATTATTATGGTATTACAATATTGTAATTGACCTAGAAGTATCAAGCTTTTAAACAATAATATAATAAAAAAATAAATTATAAAAACAGTGATGTTCTATAGAATAGGTGAGCAAACTCCACAAACTCTGCAACTTCACTATTAAAAATTAATGATTACTAATTATTAGCAAACCTTATTTTTTATATTACTCACTCACCTACTCTATAGAATATCCAAAACAGGTATTATAAATTGACCAATCAAAAGGCTTAGATATTGAACATTATCTAACAGACAATGTTCAATATTCAAGTATTTATAGCTATTTTTATAAGTTATAGAATATTTGGTATTTAGCAGTAGCTTAGTTAACAAGCACTGATATATAGTAAACTAGATTATGGATTATATATACTTGTTATATTTTTATTTTTTATTTTATTTTATATATATTGATTTAATTAATAACTGTATATAGCTAAAAATAAATTAAATAAAAATAAAAATAATAAATATCACATTAAAAATCTGAAAATAGATCTATTGCTTTTAATCCTTATCTGGCATATGCTAAATCTAGAGAAAATATCAATTATTAATAATTATAGTTTTTATCTATATATAATATAGTATTATAAAACTATTTGTATCTATATATTCTTATCTCTGATTAGATACCAGAAGAGATCTGTGTTCATTTTGATATTAGTTTAGAGAGTTGAGTTTGGTAGTTCAAACCTTGAGCATTATTAAGATCTTGCACAGGTTTATTAGCAGCTTTTTCAATTTTAGCCTTATTATAATCTTTAGTAAAATCTCATAAATAGTAAAAAAATATATCATATACAAAATAAATGACACTGTGCCAGCTCCCTTAGTGACTAAAAAATTGCCATAGAGTAATAAACATAAGGCAAATGCTATAAGTTGTTCTGGCAAAGATATATGACTATTTGGAACTAGAGAAATATAACTCTTCTTCTTTATAATCTCCTAGTGCAACTAAAACACATAAACCTATTTGCCTCATCATATTCATTTCAATAATAGTTACTAGTAGTATTTGCAGTGTTAGAGCTTGTGAAGTAAAGTAAATTGTTTCTTGTATAAGCTCCAAAATATTCAATAAAATTGGTCTAAAATTCATTACTTTGGTGTGAAGGATTTTCTAATTTATAATATTAGCATTATAATTATCAAATGGCTTTAAGTAAACTAATATTCAACCATTTTGATCTGTAATATACTCTGGTTCAGTTAAATATTTGAATTGAACCAATTCACTTATTGATTAAAAATTATTATATGCTAATATGATTAGCTATATCTTTTCTTTTTGAGTTTATATATAGTAACCATATCAAAAATAGGTTAAAAATCCTTATTACTTTGAATATTATGAGCATACTAGAGTTTTTTCTACAACAGCCTAAGATGCTATCATATATGCTTATTTTTTAATGGATTATCCTACTTCTTTAAGCCTAACTATTGGCCAAAAACAATCCACAATCTCTCATTAACAATACTAGGTAATAATTCCTCAATGCTGACATCAGTCTCTTTAATAATATCAGTATAGATCAGAGAGAGAAAATCTAACAGAATCTCAAACAACTCAAAAAAATTACTGTTAGAAGATTTTGCTTCTCTAATTAGAATTTCAATTAGCAATTCTTTAGCTGATTATTATACCAAGTTTATTTTTTTGGATAATACCCAATCTGAAGAACAAAGAAAAATACTTTGTCTACTTCCTCTCCAAATAATAAATACTATCATTAGTAAATATATTTCAGGAAACAGATTAGATTTGATGCTAAAATGGATTAAAGACATATCATCAGTTACCAAAGGGATATCAACATCTAGCTCATGAAGCATCTCTAACGCTAACTTTAAATCTTTAACTACACATATTAATGTAGTTTTTAGTTATAATTTCCTTTTTTTAGTTTGTATTACAGGCATAAGTAAGTAAATCCAGAAACATTTGCTATTTCCACCATGCCCTATTGAATGAAGAAAAATCCTGTTTTTTGACCAAATAATGAAAGTATCACTGAAACAATATAAAGATCTAATAGATATATTCTATACTAAAATTTTGCAAAGAATATTTTTTTGTTAAAACACAAAAGGTGGTTTTATAACCAAAATTTTAAATTACTGGCGGTTTTTGAAAAACTTCGATTTTTTTTGAAAAATTTTGTTACACCTGATCTTATAATTTGATTGGAAATGAGGAGTGGCATAGTCCACTTGTCCGATCAGAGATGACATTTACAAATGTCTAACTAAAACTGTTGGAAGAAACTAGGGATCCCTAATACCTTTACTCTTATTTTTTTCTTTAATTGCATTATTTTTTCACATTATTTTGCATGATAAAGAATTTTCTAAAAATATAAACATAACAATAGCTCAATTGTAACTAAAAATGAGTTTTATTATTAAATCACGAATTTACAAATGCATAATAGAATTATTCAAAAAAGACAACGTTTCGTTCAAAGTACCCTGCAACAAGATCTTTAAACAAGTTCCAATTATTATTTCTTGTATTTCAATGTGCTTGTGAAATATATTTTTTTCCACGCTCCATTGGGTAAATAAGATGCGAATTGCTAAATCTAGGTGCTTTTACAGAAATTCTTTCTTCAAACCTTCCATACTAATACGAGCATTTTTTTGAGTTACATTTGTAAGAAAATCTCTAACAAAAAAACAACTCACCGATTCACCATTTATTCCAAAGTCATTCGATACCTTCTAATACTTCAGTTTGAACACATCCAAAACCTTACCATTACCTGGTGGATATATTGGTATTGGTAGAAATATCGTATACATTGACTTCAACCAATAGAATTATAAAAACTCTCTTAATACAATTTCAAAACGATAAAGAAAATTTAATCTTTAAATGTGCCTACAAATTTGCTATGCAAGGTAAATTTTCAAATAATAATAAAAGTAATATGCTTAGCAATTATCAACTTCTTACTATAGAATTCTTAGAATTTAGTCAAAAATACTTACTAATTCTGGCCAACATTAAAGAGCTGACACAAATTTAATAAAGAACCGAGGTCGTATGGATCACATATACCTAACCGAAAGAAAACTAAATCAATATTCTGAATATATATATATATATATGTAAATATTACTTTGGCAAAATTGTAATTACCTTTCCCTTTGCTTTTGCAGTACGTCTCGCATATTGATAGTTATAAAACTCTACTGTTGTTTGTGCAGTCATGATTTAAACGCAGACCAATAATTAACATTCAACTTTTTTCACCTTCTATATTATTAAGACAGTGGGTTTGACTTACTAGATAGTATGTCATGAGCACATCCCCCCTGCAAACAATACAAAAGTAGGCAATTTTAGTATAGAATGAGTTATCGAAACGATTAAAAGAAAAATTTATAGCATACCCAAAGCCAGGCCAATTGCAACCGAAGTAAAATGGTAAAGCCATATAAGGACGTGGCATCCACCGCTCCACTAAAATATATAGATTATGCACTTTATTCATTGCTATGCTAAACGGGAAACAAAATTGGATGAATTGTAATACCACTCCAGGTTCTTCCAAACTCAATAAAAATGGTTTCCATCCAACGAGAGCTAAGTAAAAACATCCAATAACTGAATCAGTCATAAATAATAAAACGTAATTATGATTGAAATTTCCAACACAATTTCTATCCAAGAGCAATGGTGACCAAATCTTAACACACATTTTCTGCAAGCAGAAAAATGTTGTGCACGCTCAGGTTTTCGAAGATGACCTTTTGAAATAATCATGCAATAAAAATTAAA